TCTTAGCATTCAAAAGGGGTCAAACAGAGGGGTGTCTGGTTCCGATAAAAATTTTGGGTGACGGCGCAGCAATGACGGCGCGGGATGACGGCGGGGGTAATGGCGCGGGTGACGGTGCAGGCTGTCAGACTGTGAGACACGTTAATCAACAGTCCATACCGAACCAACCGTCAGTAGCCATCAAACACATACAAACATATTACGCACATAACTTTCATACTACACACAAACAAATAACCTAAACCAATAGAACACAAAAAAACCCGGAGGTTTGAAATCTACGATTTCCCTTGTTTTCAGCTTATTTTTATGCCGCCACCAACGCAGGCGTGAACGGACAACAGACATGCTCATTTTCACCCGAGTACAGGGAGAAAATTCGTGTAAAGTGCCTTTCCCAAGGGCACAAGACATTTGTACAAATAAGAAAGTTTGACAGGTCTCCGCCGTGTACTCTTAACTGGAATTTAGAGTCACACGTTGTCTATTCTTACTTAGGCTTACTAGCTGCATGTCAACCTTGAAAATGCGGTACGTCGCGATTGAAGTTTATTTTAAGCGGATCCGGGTGGGGGATCCGTATATATATTGACGTATATGTAAGGACAAGGACATTTGAGGACACCTGGAGAGTTCTTGCTGCCAACAGAACTGGAGACACTGTCTACAGCCGCCATGCTTCTGCCATGAAGCCCGCGGACGAATGATTGAATGATTGAATGATTGATCGATCGATCGATTGGTTGGTTGTTGCAACCATCCGCGTCGTGATGACGCGTTGGTCTATGCGCCGCGCAGTGATACACTTCGCAAATAAAAGGTGTTTGAAATCCATTCGATTTAGTACGTGCATGGGTGTGGCTGCTGCCACGCCTGACTCGAGAGGTCCCTCTCCCGGAGACAGACCCGCGGGCATTACAGCTTGAGGAGGCCAGCAGCCAACCAGAAGCAACACGACCATGTAACATGGATATGATGGAAAATACAATGATATAAAGAACTAAGTCCTACGATACACTTCATACTACACTGTCACTGTCATGTATCAAGCCAATTTTGTTGGGTTAATTTCTTCTTCTGGGGCAGTGGAAGACGAATTTACTTTTATCGTTTGTTGGTTCTTTGAAAGCAGAATTATACGGGTACATTAAATCAATGATATACGTTTTTAATATTTTTTCACATAATCTAAAAATCTATAGTTATGTCAAAATTTGGAAACTATAAATGAGTTGTACAAATACTATGAAACTAAACATGCATATTGAATAAAGTATGCATGACTTACACATACTACAAAACTACACATACATACTAAATAAGCTATACTTGGTTTACAAATACTAATGCATACATACATATTGAATAAGCTACATACTATCAACTAAGCATACTTACTGAATAAAGTATAAATGACTTATGATACTATGAAACTACACATACATATTGAATAAGCTATACATGACTTGCATTATACTATTCAGCTAAACATAAATATTGAATACATGCATTCACAAAATGTACTCACAAAAATGTGCTGTACTCTTCTGTGGATAGTGGGATTCTGTCGATCCAGGTCTGTCTGGTTCCTCCTCGGTGCCTAACACTCATATTTCCCATCCATTGTCTGGCTTACATCTTCGGCAGGTCTGGGAATGAAATCTTCAGGTCTTCTGCGGGTGAGCCACAGCTTGATGTAGACCCACCCTTCAACATGTCTGGTGTGGTGCCGCCTTTTGGAGCTTACTCGCCTTCAGGGTTGTGGAGGTAATAGAAACATACTGGCACAAGTGCACAAAGTCACATACAATAACTGTATAGAGGTACAAGTGGGGGTACATGTCTT